TCTTTCTTTCCTTCCTTTCTTTCTCTTTCTCCCTTCCTTGCTCTCTTCTCTTTCTTTCCTTCCTTCCTCCTTCCCCCCTCCCTTCCTTTCTTTCTTCCTTCCTCCTTTCCTTCCTAACCAGCGGCTGGTGAAGAGCCTGGCACATAGCAGGTGCTTGTTATATGCTTGTTGATTCATTGATTGATTGTATATAATTTTCCAGAGTTGTAGGAAATCCAAATTGGACTATGTCAAAACTTTTCCAATTTGTCTTAGTACTATAATTTCTATAGCCACAAACATCACACACTGGTACAGCATTATGTATTGGTAGCTAAAAGATCATGCTGTGACACTTTCCACCAGCTGCCTGTTCTGATTAATATAATAAATGGCTTCCTGGGATGTAAGTGTAAATAGGTTCGTGCTGTGCACATTTCAAGTCAAACTTGGCCAGTTCCTCAGAACAGGGTTGTACTGGAAGGGTGCTGAAAGAGTCTTGCAAACACAAGCTGGCTAGAGTTTTCCTAGGACTGGTACCCACGTGAAATGTTTCCTCAAAGCTTTCTGTGAAATGAGAAAAACAACCAGGCTCTGACCAGACACTCAGATTGTAATGCAGCCATTTTCAAGGGCACAAGATGTATTTAGGCTTTATGTGATCACTGAGTAAGCAAAGCCAGGGAAATCAACTCTTTGTACTTGAAGGGAAGTGAACAGGGTTGGCATTATGCATAGGTTGAATAGGGATGCCTGCCTGGAGTAATATGAGGGACAGTGAGAAGACACTTCTTCCTGTGTTCAAAAATGCTTCTCCTCTGCCCTGAAATTCCATCATTAGAAATTATTACAAATAGCTAAAACGACAACCTAAACCAAAACAGAATTCTATGTAATTAAGCTGGGCTCCAAAGAACAAAAGAGAAAATTCCCCTCCTTTTCTTTTTCGTGGTAAGGGGACTCTGAGTTTGGAACATTGCATATACTGTCGGATTCCCTTGATGTGTTTATTAGATTTGTTGAATTACTTAAAAAAAAAAGTTCTTCATTACAAAGAATGACTCTGAGGAAGGGGTGAGTAAAGGAACATGTGTGGAAATGAAGGTGATTTAAAAAAAACCAAAAGATTTAAATTTTTAAAAATGTAATTGGATAAAATGTGTTTGGAGACATAGTGATATCCACTGTATGTAAGCATATACAAAGAATGTGGAATTTTGACAACATGTTGAAGCTACATCTACCATCAGAACCCTTCTCTGATGTGGTCCACCAATTTTCAGGAATTGCCTGAGGTTAAAGTACTTTGCTCAGGACCATGAAACGAGTAAGTGTTGGATTTTAACCAGGTCTTTCTGACTCTGTATGCCATCCATTACTCACACTACCTCTTTCTCTCTGTGTAAATATAGTAATTCTTAGGATGGTAGTCTGGTAGAGAATTCCCCAGATGTCTGTGAGAATGCTCTATTCCATGTTGTTGGTACTGTGCTTTAAGGTAACAAAGAGAATGTATATTGAAGGAGTAATTCAGAACAATAGAAATACCCTGAGTGTTCAGAAGAGGACAGAGAAAAGAAGGGAAAAGTTGGTACTACCATGTGAAATTTGATGACTGCCTAAAAAATACTTTGTTGTTCAGCTATTTCAGTCATGTCTGACTCTTCATGACCCCATTTGGAGTTTCCTTGGCAAAGATACTGTAGTGGTTTGCCATTTCCCTTCTCCAGCTCTTTTTTACAGACAAGGAAACCGAGACAAACAGGGTTAAGTGACTTGCCTAGGGTCATACAGTTGGTAAGTGTCTGAGACCAGATTTGAACTTAGGAAGAGGAGTCTTCCTGACCGCAACCCTGGTGCTGTATTCACTGTACCACCTGGTTGCAGTTCCACAAAAAATATGCAATCCTTTTTGTTTATGGAAATGTTCATGTTTGTTGATGACATTCAAATTCTTAATAATCATGTTTCTAAAAGAAAAAAGTACATTAACTCTGAAATCAGAGGACCTGGGTTAGAATATTGCTTCTAATGTTTTTTGGGCAAGTAACTTAACCTCCCTGAGCCTCAGTTTCTTTATCTGAAATGAAGGGGTAGGACTATATGGGTCTTTAAGATGCTTTCCAGCTTCACATCTATGAACCTTATGAATGAAGGGATACCAGAAAGGAAAGAAAGTGCTACCCATAGCTGTGAAATCCAGTTCTAGGAAAACCGTGCCTTCCACTGGATGGAGAAATCAAACTGTCTAGGTATGTGTATTGAGCAGACCGAAAGGAAGAATAATTACAAAATAAGGAAATAGCAGCAAAAGATCCTGGAAAATCCCCACATTGTCCAATAGAGTGAACTTTATGCCAGGGATGCTGGATAGTGGTTAATGGGGAACAAGGTGGCCTTGTGTCAGTGTCAATAGTGGTTTTCACCAATGCCTCAGAGTATGGTGCCCCACCCAGACTTCCTTTCTTAGGACAGGCCCCTACCTTCCTTTTCCTCTTATATCCCCCTACCACAAGTCAAAACAAGTATTCCCTTAAGCTTTAATCTAGAATCTAAGAATGAATTTAGGAGTTACAATTTGATGGATACTAAGGCTTTCTTGGGCAGCTAGGTGGCACAGTGGATAGAGTGCCAGGCCTGAAGTCAGGAAGACTCTTCTTGAATTCAAATCTGGCCTCAGATATTTAGTAGCTGTGTGACCCTGGGCAAGTCACTTAACCCTTTTTGCCTCAGTTTCCTCATCTGTAAAATGAGCTGGAAAAGGAAATGGCAAACCACTCCAGTACCTTTGCCAAGAAAATCCCAAATAGGATCACGAAGAATCAGACACAACTGAAACAACTAAACAACAACAACAACCTTAAACTCACTACTATAATTGGTGAGGGAAGGGGGAGAAATAGGGTTTTGGAATTTTGTAGATCCTGACAGCAGTTATCTTGTGAGTTCATTGGCAGAGGGACTCCCAATAATTAACACTTTCTATCAATGAAGATTGACACCTGCTTTGAAACTTGGAGTCCTAGAGAATTTCCTAGAACACTGGGAGGTGAAGTGATTCTCCAGGGTTGTATAGCCTCTATGTGTCAGATAAAACTTGAAACCATGTATTGCTCACTTTAAGGTGAGCTCACTACACATTATGGCACAATACTTCTAATGTACTCACTTAGCCAGGATATTCAATAAAAATAAGAAGCTGCTGAACTTTCCTTTTTTGGACTTTGAATTCTCACTAAGTTCATCTCTGGTCTGACCCCCTTCTTCTTCACTCTTATTCTGAAACAGATTCCCGGGAAGCAGCCTCCTGGTTTCCTGAGTTCTCTGTCCTTAGGGACTGATGGCCCATGGGGTGGAGTTTTGGGGTCTCTCCCCACATGGTCCCTTGCATTCCCAAATCCCTCCTCCATAAAATTGTATTTGTTTTTAAAAGTTGATTTGAGGACATGTTTCATGCTGCTTGACCTGAGTGCTGAGATTGTTTGCTATGTCTCTGCTCAGCCCTTGGGGAGGGGGGACTTGCTTATTAAATCAAATTTTTTTCTCATTGAAAAGAGCTCCTGAGGGCTAGTCTCCTAATGTATACATGCGCTTGAAGAATGCAACAGTGACTTGGTACTTACCTGTTGTAACTTTCATGCTTAAAATGTCAGTGCTCAGGTTGTCATTCATCACTTGGATTGGAAAACTGAGGTTTTTTAAGTAAGTTTTGAAAGGCTCCAGGAGGGATGCATTTTCAAAACTTATCTCAATCTCAATCTCATATTCTTCAGGTGCAGGGCTGCTTGTGGCCACTGAAAAGAAAATATGAGAAAAAACATATCAGGAGAGGGAGACAGAATGATGGATAGAATATTATTCATAATCAGCAGAGATTAGTGGAGTGAGTTGGTGACTACATATATGTATATAGTATTGTTGTTCAGTTGTTTCAGTTACGTCTGACTCTTCGTGACTCCATTTTGGGGTGACAGAGAGACTGGGGTGGTTGGCCATTTCCTTCTCCAGCTCATTTTACAGATGAGGAAACCGAGGTGAACAAAGTTGTGACTAGCCCAGAGTCACACAGCTAATATGCGTCTGTCTGGGGCTGGATTTGAACTCATTAAGACAAGTCTTTCTGACTCCAGGACTGGTACTGGATCCACTGTGCCACCTAGATGTCCATCACTTTCCCTTACCTCATGTATTTAATAAGTCACCAGATCTTGCTATTTCTACTTCCACATTTCTGACACCTACCCCCTTCTCTCCACTTATCCAGCTGTCATCTTAATTCAAGTCTTTATAACCTTTCATCTAGATCATTTCAAGAGCTTCCTAATTGGTCGCCATGACCCATGTCTCCCCACATCAGTCCATCCAGCTGCCAAAGTGATGTTCCTTAAATCCAGGTCTGACCACATCACACCCATAGTCAATAAAATTCATTGGTTCCCTATTGCCTCTAAGATAAATGTAGCTCTTAAACCAGGTGATTTTCTTCACAGTGCAAACGTGCTTCATTGGAACACAGGATTTAGAGTTGAAGGAAATGGGTTCAAATCTTAGCCTTACTTGTGTGACCTGGGACAAAACATTCCCTCTTCATGCACATCACCCCTTTACCAATCTAATAGGTCCTTCTAGGTCAATCTAGGTCCTTGGGTGTGGCCTTTTGACTGAGTCAAAGTTTTACAGAACAAATCCTTTTATTAAATGGATTTGTTCTGTGAAGTTTAGATTTAGTGAAAGGGCCACACTCAAGGACCTAGAGGGCCACATGTGGCCTCAAGGCTGCAGTTTCGCCACCCCTGGAAAGCCTTTGCAACTTTGCCCCTAGCTTTCTAACATCATTGTACATTATTCTCCATCCCACACTTGATAGTCTAGATAAAATTGCCTCTCTGTTCCTCACACAAGACATGCCATCTTCTATATGCAACCATACAGACTGTCCCTTATGCCTCAGATGCACTCCTTCCTGAGCATCACTTCCCAGAATCCTTCTCTTCCTGCCAGCTGCAGATTCTTTGGGGATGCCAATTTTGACATCTAGCATGTTACTATAACTATTCCCCCCAGCTTTCTTGTCACATACATACTTTGATAAATGTCTGTTTGTACCCACTGTGGCTTATGCTTTTTTCTTCTGTGCACTAAAAAATATTATACTGATGTTTTGTTTGGCTCATCTGTAATAACCCACTAATCTTCACCCCCACCCCACCCCAAGCTTTTTCTCGCAACAAATGGCCAGCAAAACAAATCAACCTGATGGCCTTGTCTCAGAAAACGTATCCCTTGTGCATCTCTAGCCCATTATTTCTTGTCAAGAAATAGGAAGTATATTGTATTATCAGTCATCTGAAGTCATACCCATCTGGCATTGGTTTTTTTTTTTTTTGGCTAAGCAATGGGTTTAAGTGACTTGCCCAGGGTCACACAGCTAGTAAGTGTTATGTATCTGAGGCCGGATTTGAACTCAGGTCCTCCTGACTCCAGGGCCGGTGCTCTATCCACTGTGCCACCTAGCTGCCCCCCTATCTGGCATTGTTAAGCAGAATCCTACCCACTTATAGGGCAGCTAGGTGGCACAGTAGATAGAGTACTGAGTCAGGAGTCAGGAAGACTCATCTTTCTGAGTTCAAATCTGTCCTCAGACACTTACTGGCTGTGTGACCCTGGGCAAGTCACTCAACCCTGTTTGCCTCAGTTTCCTCACCTGTAAAATGAGCTTCAGAAGCAAATGGCAAATCACTCCAGTATCTTTGCCAAGAAGAGTTTGGCATGAAGAATCGGGCATGACTGAAAAGAGTGAACAACAATCTACTTAAAAGCATTACTTTGTGAACCAGGGACATTTGGATGAAGGACAAGATGTGTGGCATAAAAAATCTGTTTTATTTTTTCAAGCACTTATTTCTGAAAAATAACATAATGATTTTTCCTTACAGTGCAAACATGATTCATTGGAACACAGGATCTGGAGTCGAAGGAAATGGGTTCAGATCCTAGCCTTGCTTGTGTGACCTGAGACAAAATACAGCCTCTCTTCATGTACACCACCCCTTTACCAATCTAACAGGATTAGGGAAAACTCAGTGCTAAAATGAGAAGTCTTAGTGATAATAATAGCTAACATTTATTTATTGTGCTAAGCCCTTTACGAGCATTATCTCACAGCAACTCTGGAAAGTAGATGCTATTATTATCTCCATTTTACAGATGAGGAAACTGAGGCAAACAGACATTAAGTGACTCGCCCAGGCCCATACAGCCAGGTAGTATCTGAGGCAGAATTTGAACTCAGGTCTTCCTGACCCCAGGCCCAGAGCTCTACCCACTGAGTCACCTAGCTGCCCTACTTGGCTCAATCTCACTACCATTGATGCCATAGGGGAGAGTCTCCTCTTGATTCTCTACCTTTATTTGACCCAAGTCTTTGAAAAAAAATGGCAGGAGGGTTCTCTGGGAGCCAGTGCTGATCAGCATTTGAGAGCTGCCTTTCACTTTTCAGTCCCTGGTTCGTAGCTAGCTCTTGTAAGAACACTTTCAGGTGAGTTAGGAATGATTGGATCTCTGACTGTGCCTGGTCATTAATATATCAATTTTAGACCTCAGGAAGCAAAGATGCCAATTCAGTAAATGTTACCCACTTAACACTTTTATAAATGCTCTACAGTCAAGGACATCTTTACTGAGTGAAGGTAGCCAAGCCAACATTCTAAGAACCATAGGATTGAGAGCTAGAAGAGACCTTGGAAATCATTGAGTTCAAGCCCCTCATTTTGCAGATGAGGAAACTGAGGCTCATTGACTTGCCCAAGAGTCAATGGGATAGACTTGGGACCATAGGTTCAGAGCTGGAAGGGGATTCAGAGGCTAGCTAGTAAAACCTCCTCATTTTACAGGTGAGGAAAACAAGACCCAACCGAGCTGAATGACTTACCCAAGGTCACAGAGAGAGAAAGCACCAGATGTAAGAACAAACCAGGGATTTGAGCCCATATTCTCAGACTCCAGAATCTGAGATCATCCCTGGTACCATGCAACCTTTCAGGTATTTCTATTCTCTGATATTTTCTGACTTTGATGCCCTATCTGGAATGTGGTCTATTCCAAGTATCATCAGTGCCAGAGAGCGTGGATCTATCACTAGACCCAGAAGGCATAAGCAAACAATGACTTTCCTTCTTCTTTCCCATAAATCTCTGCAGTACCCCACTTATCTTGAACGGACATTTCTGGAAAGTTGGCCCCAAACTGTAATAAGTGATGTTGGCTTCTCCGATATAAAGGATTAAGCAAACAAAACTATTTTGCCAAGCAGTCCTGACAAGAAGCATGGCTTCCAGTCATATCCAGTAAAGGTAGGCATAAATTAATGTTCCACTCCACAACCCAATGAAACATAAACATGCTGACTTCATCGAGTAGACAATGTCCTAGTACTCAGGAGGGTGGGGGAGAGGGAAGGAGATAATTCTTTATCAACATTAGTTCTTTCTTTTTCTTCTCTCCCTTTGGTCTCAAAGCAGGTGAACACCCATCCAAGCAGCAGTGTTTTCATGTTCCCTTCTGGAAACCATTCTCAGTGGAGTGAAATTCTCAATACTGATCTCTTAATTTGATGGAATCCAGTCCTATCAGTTTCTTCATTGATATGATTAAAGGAAGAGAAACAGCTTTAGTTAATGGATAGAAAGCCAACCTCAGAGCCAGGAAGGCCTGGGTCCAAACCCTATCTCTACCATATTTTTTTCAAGCCAATGAACCTTTATAAAGTACCTACTATGTCTTAAGAACTGTTATGTTAGTACCATACTAAGCACTGAGGATATAAAGTAAAAAACAGTACTTTCTTCAAAGGGGCTCATTCTTTTTTTTCTAGTCATTCATTTTTCAAAATATTGAGTTCCAAATTTTTCCTCCCTCCAGCCCCTCCCCAACTGGTAGGGAAGGCAAGCAATATGATTTCCATATTTTCCATATTCCAGTATTTCCATATTAGTCATGTTGCAAAAAAAAAAAAAGTGAGGGAGGCAAGAAAAATAAAGTGGAAAAATGTGCTTCAATCTGTACTCAGCTGTCTCTAACATATATTGGCTGCGTGACTCTGGGCAAGTAACTTCACCTCTCAGTGCCCCAAACAAATCTCAAAGACTATAAATTGCAGGGTAATTGCAGGTCTGTATTGGTAAAGAGATTTTTCCCCAGTAGAAGTTCTCCATGGCAATGAAATCATGGGTCCAGTCCCATCCCATTCCATAATCAAAGAACCTGACCCATCTTCAGGTGTGAAGAGTGGAACTGTCTGACCGAGGGAGCTCCTCAGACATCGGGTTACCTGTGACAGCTGGAGGTGCCATAGTAAAGTAGTCCCGAAACCCTGGGTGAGATGTCAGGAGTCTTGCCTGTTAGTTCCATCTCATCTATCGAGTGTGGTAATCCTAGGCTACGTAACTTCATAGGACTGTTTTGACTCCAATGATCAATAGCTAACTATGTGATCTGAGAAAAATGATTATTTCTCTCTTGTACTAATAACGAATTATTGAATGAGACTAAGGCTTTTCCCCCTCTTTTCTACTTCCCCATCCAGAAATGAACCAGTGTGGGAAATCTTGGGCAAAGACTGTGGATTTCTGCTCATTTTGTTCACTCAGACAGATCTGGGGAAATTGGATTCTCCCTTTTGTCAGATTGATGATATGGAAATGGATAAGTCCCTTTGACCAAGATTTGGGTAATTCAAGTCATGTACCTCAAGACTTAATATAATATAGCCCACCTCTCATTGTAATATTCATTC